ACCATGGCCAGGCCAGCTTCAGTTACCCCTGCACCTCCCCCCCCAAGCTAGTGACTATGGACTATAGAGGTGGTGCCCCCTGGTCCAGCTGCTCCTGAGAACCAGGCCTTCAAGTGTCACAGCTGGGCAAGTCTGGGCACAGACTCGAGGAAGCTAGGGCTCCTTATTTCTGAGTCATCTCTCCATTTTCATCCACATTGCCCCTTCTCCCACTACAGTTATTTTAAAAAAGGACTAACCCAGCCTTTTTTCTAGCTTGACCACTTTTAGTTGTAAAATCGGTATGGAACATGGTTAAATAAGCGTTTGGTGCAATGTTAAGAAGTAAAGAATAGAGCTCTTTAAATCTACTCTTTTAAAATACAATAAATATTTTCCTTTGGAACTTGGAAACTATTACCAAAAATAGTTATGGTTCTTGAGTGAAAAGGAGTTTTGATACACAATTATATAAAAGAAAGACAGCATTCTTTCTCACCAGGAATTAAAAGCATTTCTAATATGGCGAGGTACTCTCCCAGAGGGTGGGGATGAGGAATATGATAGTCCCCAGCTAGAATGCCAGATGCCTTCCTAGTCTCCATTTCCTTTGCTTTTGTCATTCAGCCCTCCTGATGGAATAGCCGGAGTACCAGTTGTCTTCTGATCCTCACCCCAGCTGTTAAAATTGCCAAGCTGTGCAAAGATCACAGGGGCATGACACATACTGAACTTCTCTTTTGTTTCCTCTCTCGATGCTCCAGGTTTCCCCCATCCAGTGAGTCTTAACTTGGTTTCCACAGTGATTCCATGACATTCATGTATGACACATTCCCATGGTCCTGTCAGGCGTTTACAAAATCAAGAAGATTTTTTCTGATTTCAGTGTCCCCAAGTGTGAACATCCACAGAGTCATTTCTAGTCAGTTATTGGTTAGATACTAGCTGTGATTCAGATATGATTGCATTCTGTCAAATATAGGTGCATATCTGAAGAAATCAGATACGATTTCTTCACTAATGAAAATATATTGTCTTCATTAAATAAACAGTGGACTTTGTTAAAAGTAAGTTTCATAGAAGGAAGTCAGTTTCTCAATTAGGTTTATCTAAATCAGATTTTTATCTGTGTGTGAAGCAGATTAAAGTAAACTGAACACTCAGAATCTGTCTAGAAATAAGGAGCCATATCATATCACTTTGTATTGACAAGTTAAAGTGGTTTTTTACAAAATTGTTTCATCTCCTCAATCCAATAAAATCATATTTTAGGCATATCTATTTTGAAATTTATATGATGCCTTTGGGATTATATTTTTGTTTCTTGGTTTACAATTAATAATTTTCATGTGGATTAGGTATAATTCTGAGAGAATAATCTTTCATAGGTCTGTTATGGTTGATGTCAAATTTGAAATCTATGGATAATATGCCTTTATCTTTAACCAAGGTCATGATATTTCTACCCTCTTTTAATCTCTTAGGGAGATTCTGTTTTTCCTTCCAGGAAAGATATAATTTGCCGATGAGTTTGTGTTGCTACAAAGTTTTCCGCTAAAATTCAAGAAAATACTTGTCAGCTTGATAAGCACAAAGAAATTTATCCTCAAAAGCTTTAGCATATATTATTATTTTGCTTAAAAAAACTCTAATATATCTGTTTTCCACATAGGGAAATTATGACATAGATGATATTAATGAAGAGGGAAGCTACGAGTTACCTATTGCTGTGTAAAAACCAGCCGAAAACTTACTGGCTTAAAAAATATATATAGATTTATTTTTTCAAACAGTTCTGTGAGTTGGCTGGGCAGTTCTGTAGGTCTCTCCTGGACTTCCTAGGGCGTTGAATTCAGATGATGCCTGGATGATCCAAAATGGCCTAACTCAATATATCTGACAGTTGGTGCTGGCTGTTGGCTGGGATGCCTTGGTTCTTCTCCATATATAGCATGACAGTCGCAGGACAGGACTCTAGGATAACTGAATCTGATGCAAAAGCACATGGTAAACCTCTGCTTGCTTCACATTTTCAATGTGACACAGGCCCAAAGCAGGTCATATGATATGGCCAAGCTGAGAGCCTGTATGAGAGTGAGCTCAGATGACATGACATCTCTTCATCTGAGAAGGGAAAAATGGCAAGGGGTCTGTGGCTGTTTTTAAATCTACAGTGTAACCCCTCCCCCCACTTTCTAAAAACTTACCCTTTTTGCTTTGTAAATAAATCTTAATCCCAAATTGGGAAAGTATTGCCTGGCCCCTTACCTTGGCATGGCTAACATGGAAGTACTGTATGGAAAGAAAAATCACCATTACCACAGACGTCCAAAACTAGCCAATATCATGATCCCCATTCACACACTGAGTTATTCTCCCAACTGAAAGAAACAAATTGTGTTGGGAGAGAAAACTGGAAAGAAACAGGAAAAGAGAACGAGGAGTTGCACATTGATGTTTAGAAATGAATTCTGCACTGAGAATAATAGCAGAAGAATGGAGGGTGAGGTGGTAGCACCAGTGGGGCCAGGTAGGTAGCATGGGATGCAATAAAATGGTTATAATAAAAAACCATAATGAAACAAAAAGCACTTACATTTTACATGAGGCTTTGTAATTTAGAGAACATGTGCATATATCTTACCACATTTATCTTCAAGGTAAGTATGTAAAGTATTTAAGAACATACTCCTATTTTGCAGTTGGTTAAACTAAGATTGAGGGAGTTTTATTAGCTTGTCCAAGGTCATCACATTATTAGACGGAAGAGCCAGCATCTAAGGATTTCTGATAACCAACCCTGTTCTTATTCTATGGTAAAATTGCATGCAAAGAATAAAATGTAAAGCAAACCAGGAAATGAGTTTTGAAATTTTATCAAGCAAAATATACTCTAAACAAGAAAATTAATGGCCTTTTTGTTTGTTTGTTTTAGTAGTAATTGATGGAAATCTTACATGGGATAAGATTTGTTCTCCCCATACTTCTGAACCAATGAACAGAAAATGGGAAGCAAAACTGAAGCAAATTGAAGAACGAGCATCTCATTATGAGAGGAAACCGTTGTCCTCACTGTATAGACCAAGATTATCCAAGCCTGAAGAACCACCCTCCATTTGGAAACTATTTCATCGACAAACTCAAGCTTTTAATTTTGTTAGAAGCTGTAAAGAAGTAATTGCCTCATCCTCTTCTCTCTCTTTTTTTAGAGCTACTATAACTTAAGATTTCAAACAATAACAACAATATGTTATTTTTCTTCATTTCAGGCCATGTACTCTACCAAGAGAATTTGATGGCAATCTTAGTATCATGTGATTTAGAAAAAATATCTCTACCAATCAATAACCATTTAGTTTATATTTGTAATGAAAAAGAG